TATATAAATTACAACAAAAATAGAAAAATAAGGAACTAAAATTTAAAGTAAATTGAAATGGTCACTAAATAAAGCAGTTAGTAAACAAGGACTATTTATGTTTCTTTTTTACTAACTAATGTACTAAGCACTAACAGAACTAAGAAAGTGGGTGAAAACGTATCTCCAATTTCTTGGGGGAGTGAAGTTTTGGAAAATTCGTTCACTAATATGCCTTTTTTTAAAGCATAGCTACATTTTTTTCTGTATTTCAATCACAAACTGGTGGGAAATTAAGCTGCTACTTTTCTGCAAGCACAAAATAAAGATGTGATTGCAGATTTTCCACCCCTACCGTATAGTCATTTCCATTATTTTTCATTTTGTGGTCCTAAGGAAAACAGCACTTTTCATATCAATAAATTATGACTTGGTGTTGATACTGCTTTACTTCTACTTAAAAGGGCTTTTAAAAATATTCTTCTTGCAAAAAAATGCTGAAGTGATTCATTCTGAGAAAACAGCCTTGCAGATTATTAATCCTTATTTTGAGGCAATTTAATGTAGTTGAATTAATAAACTGTTTTTGTATTAACATGTATCAATGGCCTTTGGAAGGTTAAATCCTTGTTATTCCATTTCTTGAAATTTATCCAAAGTGGTCTTTTATGTGAGTTTTCTACTAACATATATATTAGAGAAAAATAAACAGATATTTTGGGTTTGTTTTTAATAAAATGTGTAGCCACTTAGCAGTAAAACATAAAATAATTGCTCTGAGTCAATAGCAAATTATCAGGATTTGCTGTCTGTGCTAGTTTATCTAATTCTATAACCTTTGCATAAAATAAATATTTATTATAATGAATACAGTACATTTGATTTGATTGTATGTGCTTCTACAGCAGGGGTGTCAAACTCATGTCATCATGGCGGTATCACGTGGCATATCGGAACTTTTTTTCCATTTGTTAAACCGGGCATGGGTGTGGCCAGCGCGTGACACATCTTGACACAGTTTGGCAGCTCTGTTCTACAGTGTAGAAGTGTTTGAGTTGTATATGTTAGTGCAGACTTTCTTAAAGTTTTTTCTCTCAGGACCTGTTCACACTTTTTGTTATGAAAAACCCTTAAAAAGCTTTTGCTTGTGTAGGTTATATTTATTGTTATTTACTGTATTAAAATTTAAAACTAATACTTTTGCTTCTTACAATTGTGGTATTTTAATATATTATTTTTCAACCCAAGATGGCAAATATTTTTGTTTTTGTGGGCTACTCAGAGAGGCTTGGGGATATCAAGGGTCCTAGGAGCACAGAGGTAATCCTCATTTATTTATCCCGTAGTGTTTCATTATGGCATTATAAAAATGTAACAAATAAAATTTTGGGGATTATCCAAAATCCAAATTAATCTTGGCCATCTGCTATTTGCCAGTAGCTACTAAAATAATTAAACTTCTAACTAACTAATTGCTATCAAGTAACTAAATAGTAACCAAATTGATCAGAACCATAGTTGGAATTTTTTTGAGAAAGATAGGTTTGCTGCAGGACAAAGCTTCCTCAGATGTTTGTATTTCTTTTTATTAATACACAACATGGCACATAATACTATAAAATGTAGTAAAATTGTGGCTTTTAGCAATATTTTATATGCTAGTTGGATTCTCTTCAGACTCAGAATATTGATAGATTGTTTAATACCCATATGCTCCACAATAAGACAGAAGTTTAGAAATGGTAATTCGTACATCTCAGATTTAATTGATTCTTCTCAGAAGCCATGAGATTTGATGATGACATTTAGCTTTTAAAATAGTAATGCTGTCTGCAGGTAATTTTTAATATGTTATTAGGAAACCAAAGATGGAGATACTGCATGATTTAATTTCGAGAGTAGTAAGTGGCATGAATAAAAGTGGACTTTAATATTGTTTATTAATCTAGAAATAATAAGACATCTGGAAATTGTCTTTGCAGAGATATTATAATGAGTATTTAGTGCAGAAAAAGGCATGCCTCATTTTGTCAAGGCAACAGATTATTATATATGAGGAAAATAAAAGAGCTGAAATGAATTTGTGCCAAGCTTAATCCTTATTTTTCTTAACAGCCTCCACAGATGACAGCGCAGAAGAGAAGAAAAGTGCCTCTCTTCACACTGGCTTAATTGTTGGGATTTTCATTTTGGTTCTAATAGTAGCTGCAGCAATCCTTGTGATTGTTTATATGTATCACCATCCCACCTCTTCAGCCAGCCTCTTCTTCATTGAGGTAAATTGTGTTTTTCATAATTGGTGTACAGCCTACAGTATGGTGAAAAGCTGGCTTTTATCATCTGCCCTGAAACAGTGCAATATTTTCAGACACCAAGTAATATTAGCCTTTGTTTTTGCCTGGCATGTTGTTGTTATTTGTGCTACATTTGCAGGTTGATCTGGTAAAGCATGGAGCACTTCATCATGATTCCCCACCCCACCCCCCAGAACATTGTGTTAAAAAGACAGCTTTTCGAAAATGACTGGTTTCTGTTCATAATATTTCCTGAAAAAAATCTCCCCACCCTCCACCTCCCCCCAAGACTTTGATTCATCTTAGAAATAGTTTGTCATGAGTTTTGGGTGTCATGATGATCTTAGTGTCAAATGTAAATTTAGTACATTTATTTAGTTATCATGTTTGTACCAGACCGCAGTCATATAGAAATAATCTATGTGACTCTGAAGTGAAACTTCTCCACTGGGCTTTCTTAATACCAATTCAGAAGGCTGTCTAAGAATTATAACATTGCTCTTTGGAGTATCTGGGAGTGCCTATGAGGGACAAATGTTCTAAGTGCATTTTACTTCTAAAAGCAATACTGAAAAAGTAAGGAACAGAGTACCTTTAAGAATAATATTTTGGCATTAGGCCACTTGGTTAGAGATAGGAAATATGATGCAGGTAACTGCCAGATGAAAAGAGTGTTTGACAAATTGATAATGTGAGATATGTTACTTGGTCCCATCAACAGAAGGAAGATACTTTTAAAATTGAACAAACAAAAAATACCATCATCACTGGCTTCCCCTTCCCTTCAAATTATGTATTGAATTATTTCTCCTTCCCCTCTTGGAAAAAAAACAACTTTCTTTAGCAATAAAATCTTTACATCAGAGTCCCAATTCAGCCTTTTTTTTAGGATAAAGCTATCTGATGTATTTGAAAAATGAAAAGTTTCCCTCCCTAAAAAACAAATTCTTCACCCTTCTTTCAAATATTTCTTTTAAATATAGAACTATTTATACTCTAATGTCTTTTTATTAAATATTATACACCTGTAGCCTTCCCTTTATTATCTTTAAAAGTGATTTGGTTGAAATATTTCTGTAGATGCTTTCTTTTTTTTATGATGTTAAATAGCACATGTATACTCAACTTAGCACTGAAAAAAATACTCTTCAGTCCTCACATTTATAATTTTTGCAGCATCCCTGCAGTCAAATTTGGGCCATAGGGAATAATACAGTATATAATTATGATGGTTCTAACAAGCAAAATCAGTGGAATCCCAGATTCATTTAATGACCTCACGATTCATTTAATAACTTCAATGATACACTTAACCATGATAAAAAAAGGGTTGTTAAAATGAGGCACTAGTCATTTAACAACTGCTTTGCTTAACACAAAAATGCTGGTCTTTATTGTGGTTGGAAGTTGAGACCACCTGTTGAGGTAATTCCCCGTTAGGAGAATGAGCGCATACAGGGAGACGTAGTGAGAGTAGTGAAGAATAATACACACACAGCACACAGATACACCGTACAGTAAATGTAAGTTTTTACGTCAAATAAACATTTAAGCACAGTCCAAGATAAGTAGTCCAAGTCATTCACAGGTAAGGCAGTCAGTGTTCAGTTCAGGGATAATCCAAATATCAAAGTCCAGTATCAAAAAACAGTTCGGTAACAGACTTACATCAACAATCATTAACAGTCATTAGGAGGAATAGCAAAACTCTCCAACAGAAGGAAACAGAGACTCACTCACTTCTGAGACTAAACAAGCCAGGTTTCTGGCTCCATCTTATGGCTGTATGAGAAAGCACACCTAATTACAGTTTTAGGATTCTCTTAAAGATACAGTATTAAAATGTCTATCCTAGTTTATATGTTTCTAACCCAAATAACTGTTAGATGACTTACATTCCTAACATTCTCCCCTTTTGGGTAGGACAATATATACAACTTTACATTCTAAGTCCATAATCCTCGCAGCACGCCTTATGCTTTATAGAGTCTTGGGCCTTTGTAAAATGATCTGCTATATTGTTTTCTGGCATACGGTATTCCAGCTTAATCATCTTATTTTGCATACATTGTCTCACATTTAAATATCTTAAATCTATGTGTTTTGTTCTTGTTTTAACAGCAATATTTGAAGCCATCTGTATTGCTGATTGGTTGTCTTCGTAAATAACAATAGAATCTGTTACATCATGTCAATCAATAATTGCTTATAATAAACTAAATCTGTACATAATAAAGATAAACATGAGAATTCAGCCTCCATTGTTGACAAACTTACATGTTTCTGTCTAATAGACCTTCATCCAATCAACACTTTTCCCAATAATACAACAGTACCCAATATAGATTTTCATGTATTTATGTCTGTAGCAAAACTTGCATCAGCATATGCAGTTAAATTCAGTTCATTTTTAGGTTCCAAATACAATGCATAATGCATTGTTTGTTTCAGATATCTTAGCACATGTTTAGCAGCTTGCCAGTGCCTTTCAGTTGGCTCAGCGTTAAATCTCACTAATTGGTCAATGCTGTATGCTATATCTGGCCTTGACCAATTACTGAGATAAGATAAACTACCAATCAAGGACTGATAAATGTTCTTATCAAAAATAGGACTTTGAACATCACTATGGCTAAACTCCTGGCTCATTGGTGTCTTAGCCAGTTTACAAAGTTCTATTTTAAAACTTTTATTAATTGGTTAATTTTATCTGCCTTTGAGATCTTGTATCCTCCCCTAGTTCTTTCTATCTTTAAACCAAGATATTGTTTGATTTCTCCTAACTGTTTTATCTTAAATTTCTTCTCTAACAGTGAGATTATTTTAGTAGCTTCTTGTTCAGTTTTGGTGATTAATGCTATGTCATCAGTAAACAATAGCAACAATGAGATTACATCATTACTTTCTCTTTTAAACAAACATGGATCAGCCATGCCAGCTAAAAAACCTATCTTAGTTAATTCTTTAACTATACATTGGTTCCACTCATATCCTGATTGGTTCAAGCGATAAACACTCATTTTCAATCTCCAGCAACCAGTTGTATTATCATTTTTAATACCTAAAAGTTTCCTTAAATAAATAGTGTGTTGCAATGGTGCATGCAGATATGCCATCTCTACATCCAAATGATTTACAATGTATTTCTCCTTAGCTGCCCACACCAATGCTGCCCTTAATGTAGTAGCCTTCAGACTAGGTGCAAATACCTCATCATAGTCATTTGCTGTCTGATTGAACCCTTGTGCTACTAACCTAGCTTTATGGGTAACCTAGCTTTATGGGTAACAGTCCCATCTACACCTGTCTTTAGTTTATATATCCATTTACATCCTATGGCATAATAATAATAAATAATAAGAATAAGAAACATGGTGGCGCCCAACTAGGAAGGTGAGGCTCTCGCTCCTGGAGCACTATCTCCCTATAAAGCCACCACCTGCACCAGAAATCACTTTTAAAGCTGCCGCCTGCACCAGTAACCGTGAGTAAACCAGAGCCCAAAAAACAAGTCCAAAAACGCTGGATTCAGAAGCCATGGAGCCCTAATAATGCTGGCGGAGCTCCTGCTAGCTGATCCGGAACCTTCCTCTCCTTCCTCAGAGAAGTGAAGCTCTTTCCATCGAACCCTATTAACCACACTGGTGGAGCTCTTGAACTGGATCACTTGGAGCCAGCAGAGTGCAAACAACGTACCTACATTTAAATCCCTCACACAGCTGATAGAAGTATCTTCCACGCCAGTGAATGTGTTTCCATTAATATCCCCCACACAGTTTCCCCGGAGCCACATCGAACAGCTGGCAGGGAGAAACAAGGAGGGAGGAGAAAGTCCTGAGGCTCTTAGGAGCCGAAAATCACCCTGGACGGGTGGTAAAGGCAGAGGAATGCTTCAGTGGTCGCGAGGAGAGGAGAGTCTCCTCGACCGACCCGAAGAAAACCCCTCCATCCGAACTAAAAAGAGAACTGCCAGCATGGCTAAATCGAAGCCAGGAAGGCAGCTGAGACAGAAGTGAAAAAGAAAGGAAAGATCTCTAGCGTGCTTAGTCTTGGTAAGAATCACTCCAATTTCTGCAGTGGAATTTTCCTTGTAAAGTAGGACTCAAAGGAGGAAAATAGCTATGATTAACGATCTGGAGTGACTGTCAGATTTAATTTTTTTAAAAAGATATTGCAACTAGAAGTAACTTTAAAATTAAAGACAGATTGGATTGGTCAACCCAAATTTCTGGACTGTATTTTTACTACTACTCCACTTGAAGAACTTTGGGAAACTATTGGAAAACAATCTTATTCGGAGACATATTGATTGTAGTTAAAGTGTTTTAATTCAGCGAGTTTTGCTCTCTTTCAAAAATCCAGTGTGCTTTGAACATCTTGTTACAGCCTATTGTTTACAGAGTAATAGCAGCAGCAATCAGAGCAATAAATTCTTCCCACCCAGTAAATCATAGCTGCTAGTAAAACAATTAACCCTTTCCTTGCAGACTCTCAATACTACCTCATTACTTTAATCAAACACTGATTAATTTATTACCTCAAAACTTACAACTTTTCTACCTCATCACCTATATCAATGATTAGATAATCAATTTCTATAAAATATTTCATTAATAGTTTAACTGATTTATTGTTTTAATTGATTAGTATGATTAGAGTGTTTAGTGCAAATAGTGTGATTACTGATTAGTTTAAAAGATCAAGATTCATGTAATTTAATTGATTAGTAAAATCAGTGATTTAGTGAATTTAATTGAACAGTGTGATTAATGATTAGTGTAATTAATTGATTAGCAATTAGTGTAATTAATTGATTAGGCTGATTGTTGCTTAGGAAAATTATTTGACTAGAGAGATTACTGTAATTGATTGATTGGTGTGATATTGGCTATATTGATTGCCCAAAATTGTTCCATTAATTAATTTAATCAATGTTCCATCTTAACAAACCTACCATGCCAAGAAAAAAATCCAATTCCAAA